CACCATAAATGCTCGTGCCGAGGAGGATGTGGAGCCGGAGCTCATCATGGAGAAGGTGGCCAAGGCCTCGGGGGCCAACTACAACTTCCACAAGGAAAGCAGCAGGTTCCAGGACTCGGGCCCTCAGGCCCCGGTGGTGAGTTGGATTCCCGGGAGCTTTCCCGGGCTCCCTGCTGTGGTCCTGGCCCCACGGTGACGGAGCAGAAAGGTCCCCGTGGGCTTTGGGGTAGCACATTGACCTGCTTGTTGACCAAATCTCAGGATTCCTCCTCAAACATGGAGCTACCGGGGATTCTGGCACCTTCCTTTCTGTCCATATGGAAATATTTTTGGGAAGGCGCTTTCTTTTTAACACAAACGCAGCAAAGAAATGATGTTTCATGAAACGATCCCCAGCAGCGAAGGCTCTGGCACATCCTCCTCTACCTCCCTGCAGGGCTCCGTCTACCAGAAGACGAACGCGATGTCCGAGATCAAGAGAGTCAATAAGGACAATTTCTGGGCCAAGGCGGAGGTGAGTGGCCCTGGGCTCTCCTGGCTCGGCGCCAAGCGCCTCCGGCTCCTGGGAACCAGGAGCAGCGTTAAAAACCCAACGGGACCCTGCCGAAAGCCACTTCCCCTCCCGGGCTGAGCTCCGGGTGGTTTCGGATCCCCCGCGCGGCTGGGCCGGAGCCCCCGTTCCGGCTTTCCGGGGTGCCTTTGTGGTGGGGGGTGATGTTTCTTGGGAAGAGAAGCTGCGTTTTGGGGGGGTCGGGTGAGGTTTAGGGGAATTTGGGCTTCTCTGAGCATTCAAACTGTGACTCGGTGCTCGGCTTCCTGCAGAAAGACGAGGAAAACCGGCGGCTGGAGGAGAAGAGGCGGGCGGAGGAGGAGCGGCAGCGGCTGGAGCGGGAGCGCCGCGAGCGGGAGCTGCGGGAGGCGGCCGGACGCGAGCAGCGCTTCCAGGCCCGATCCAACGAGATCGAGGCGCAGAAGGGAGTCCTGCGCTCCGGGACCCCTTGGGAAGGGGCCCTTCCTTCCTTCTTCTCCCAGTGGGAACGGGCACTGCCTCCCTGTTCGGAGATGGGACGGATGGGGATGATCAGGCCGGCCCTGGGTGCTCCCCTGTCCTTGCCCGGCCTTTCCCAAACCTTGTTCTCCCTTTGGTCACCCCAGGAGATTCCAGCAGCAGCAGGAAGCAGAGAGCAGGGACAAGGAGCAGCAGCAGGGGGTGAGCGTCGCCGGTGTCCCCATGGCCGATGTCCCTTTTGGCCTGTCCCCTGCAACGGAGAGCGGCCGAGACCCCCGCGGAGGGGCCTC